GCAGTAAAAAGGACCCTTCCCCCAGCCCAAAAGACGTAGTTAAGACCCAGATCTCGGAAAAGGCGTATTTAAGTCCAAAAACGTTCCGAAAAGCGTAATTAAGACCTTTCCTCGGAGATTGGATCCACCATGTCGTCATGTCGACATGGGTCGTGCGTCATAGATCGACGTACTGCATGATCCGTGCGAGATGGAAGACTTTGATGCATGACCTCATATCGGGCAATGTTGAGTATAGTGCTTATCAAGCATGACGTCTCAAGACAGAGGTGAAAAATTGGGGAGATACTAGAGGAGAGGGGTCATCTACATCCCTTCGTGGGCCGTGGGGATGGGAGGTGTTGAATGTAGTGGATGAAGCTCTGCTCCTACTCGTACTTCTATCTACCTTACTGGTCTGGATCTCCTTCAGAGTCGTTGAACGTATGATCATTCTTGGCAACTATCTTTTTCCAGGGCTCATGACTGCCATTGTCCTTGGTAACAAGGAGGGTGAGAAGGGGAGCGGTCTCGCGGTCGATACCGATGGATTTGAATGGTCAACACGTTCTGAGAGTGCCATTGCGGGCTGTGTTGACATCGATTGTTCTGTGCTCACATATGGAGATGTCATCCCTGAGAAGGGACTGATGATACGGATTTCAACATTCGGTGAGCTGCTTGAATGGGATCCAAAATGTACTCTCAGAGTACTTCTTGTTTCACTGACGAAGCGCCCACTCACTTCGCTACAAGGGCTTTGCGGAGAACTTTGTTTCATACGACCACTAGTACCAGAAAGCTCCTGTAAACCCCAATGATAGATGAAAACAGTGGATCGATCACCAGGGGATTGTAGTGGTGGGCGGATCGTCGGCGTCGTATCGGTTGACCAACCATCCGGAATGGGGTGGCAATGTCTGCAGGTCATGAAACCATGAACACAATCCAAGCTTCCAGCAACAGTGTGACTGATTGGCAATCCTGCAGTAGGGGATAGGTCGTCTTCGTTTACTCGCATGACACTTGGCACTTGTTGTGTTGCCGAAGGGGGACTTGGTAAGGGGAAGAGATCATAAACCCACTCAGGAGTCACCTGCACGGAAGTCTCACTGGTCCGCATTGGGAGCATGGGAGACACGGTGAGAGGGGATGTCAATGTAGAAGTGGGTGCAGAGTGAAGCCGGTACGTGAACTTCCGATGAGTAGTCCCCGTCTCCTGTAAACGAGATCTCGAAGAAGTATCTTCCATACTGTAGATTGGTGAAAGCAGGAGTTGTGAGACCTGTGGTGTCAGGATGACACTTTACTCGAAGGTTGGCAGGCAAATGTGGTCAAACATTCGGACCCGGGGTTGATATCTTAGCAATGTTGAAACATCGGAGCCGGAAATGATCTTGCACTGCGGGATCGGAATATCATCAACCGGTCTTGACTTCACGTCTAGGGCTTGGGCACGGAGATCCTTTGATATCTACTTCCTTTCATTATGAAACCTCTCGGGCTTACCTGATGTGGTCGCGTCTCTGCGTTCCCATGACGCTCGACCCTCCGGATCACCGAAGGAGACAGCACGGCCGAAAGGTTAGGATCATGCAAAATCGGCCGTCTGATCCACATGCTGAGTAAGGTAGTCCATAGTCACAAATATAAGTCACCTGTGAGTAGCTACTCATACACTAGGGTACCACATTGTCAAGTGGGGCTTGTAGAGCACGCTCCTGGGGACTCCCTCGGTGACAAATTCCGTTTCGTTTAACCTCAAATAGTAGACATCAACATGATCAAGTGGTCATGTCGAAGAAACAAGGGTAATCGCAACCCTGAAAATCTGAACAGCTCGCCATGTCAATACATTCAAGACGTGGCGTAGAGACAGTTGGATATACGTGCATATTCAAATACATAGACCAGAGTCAGCATTCACCTCTGACAGGCTGGTCAAAACCTTAGGAGCCTATTTGCCTCATTGACCATGTCTAGTACCACTAGCCGGATCTTGACAATCAATGAAATGAGGTCTGTGAGAAGTCAGCGTCTTGGACAATCAGCAATGCCATCACTTTCAGTATCTGTCAACGCTGTAGTGGAATGCCATCACGAGAATGGCTCCGGCATACCCAGTTCCTTGATGATTTGGATCTATCAACTTTCGAAGGTCGGGAATGTCCATTTGACTGTTTTTCTGTAGATCCTAACTCTGGTCTCCCAAAACGAATGCGGTTTGACGGCGTTCTTGAACAACCCTTAGATTCAGAGGACCAGGTACGAATTCTATCTCGGTTCTGAGAGCGTTGACGACCTTGTCCTGTTTTCGCTGGTACTGGAGTCGATTTTCTAAGGTTTGTCGTCGATGAATTCCGATGCGACCGAATACCGGCACTAGTATGCTTCGGATGCGAAGCGGTGTTGACGTTAACAATTGTTCTACTCGACGAGCCGTGATTGTGACGAGCTGACTGAGCCTGGGGGGTCGGTAAACTCGCTCCCTCTGGCTGGAAACGTACTTGACCGCGCGAACGGGAGAATTCACTAGAGTGTCCCACAACTGGCTGGGAATGATGCCTATGTGGTGGCTGTGATGAAGGTACAGATTTTCTGCCTGTGTTCCTTCTGCGTGATTGTCTGTGAGTTCGGCGCGAGGTGGAAGGATGCCGGGTGGTGGAGGTACTCCGAGAGGTGGAAGGATGTCTGTAAGCAGCTCGAGAGCGACCTCGCCTTCCTCTACTTCGGTTCCGGGGAGGGTCAGTAGCGTCTTGTGAGATCGTATGAGGCTGCAGAGACATCGTAGGAGGTATAAGGATGACTGGCGGGTAGTCAACCCCGAATTGTTCAGTGGGCGCATGAGGAGGCGAGGCAGAACTCAGATTCGGAGTGACACTCACAGAACCTGCTCCAATGACAATCACGTTGGCTCGCGCAGGAAAAATCATCTGCCACCCATTGGCCAATAGCGAAACGCCTCTTTCGTCCCGTGAGGGGTTTACTTGGAGACGTGATGAGGGAAGGCCAAGGGGGACCATTTCCGACGCTGCATATGAGAGTCCAGGGATGCTTACGGGCGGAATGGATTGTGTGGTGCGAGCATCGAAGTCGGTGGAAAGTTGATGGACAGCGCCAACACTGGGTCTAAGTCCTGTGTAAGCAAATCCATCTGGGGATGTGGGCGTCGGGCGTTGAGGGGACGCGACAACAGATGGGGGAGAATGAGACACATGATCTAGTCCCGGCTGTCCTGCTCCGCCATGATACACTTGACTGAATTCGGATGTATGGTGGGGGAAAGAAGTAGGGGGAGGTGTGCGTAGAGGGGCAAAAGTCGGTTGCAGTGGGTACGCCGTTTGCTTCAGCTGGACGAGAGGACTGGGGAAGCGCAGCTGGCTTCGACTCTGCCCGTCCCAAGCATCTTGTCGATATACTTGGGAGGGTGACGCGGAGTGGAGCCCAGTGCTCGGGGACATGTGGGAAACGTGGTGTGCGGATGATATGGGTGATTGATGAGGATGGGGAATCGCGTAAGAGGACGTTGAAGGAGAGGAGGAGGTACCGGCCTGTGAACTGTTGAAATGTGGATAGTGAGGAACGTTTCCGGTCGAGGGGGCCGGAAATGTCACCGATCGCCCAGGCCTCTGCATTTGTCAATGAGATCTCGCAGTCAGGGATAGGAGGAAAACTGGGATCGAGGTCTGCTTCTTATGAGAGCAACTTACCTTAGGCCAGCCCTAAATCATGAGACTCCGCGGTTAGAGTATCTTAGTCCGTCAGTTGCTGGACGGTTGATCCCTGGTCCTCCCCTTTCCTTTCTAATATTGGGCTTCGTGATGACGAACCGCGGCCTGAATCTCGGGGATGGCGGGTGAAAGTTGCTGCATCGCCTGTTGTGATATCATCGTTCACATCCTGCATGGTGGTGGTGTGTCTCGCTCTGTACTGCCGAAAGGTTTTGGTGGACCGGGAGAGGAGCAATTAATCTCGCGATGGATTGCGCCCGGGGCTCCGGATTGGAAAACCTCCAGAGCTGTTGATGGAAGAAAACTTCACGCATCTCTCTTCAAGGCAAAACCGGATAATCCCGTCACTTCTGTAATTATTCCCCTCACTTTTTCTCGGTTTTTCCCAAAACACGCCACTCAACCTTTCCTTCACCCCACTCCACATCCACATACCATCACTCCACATCCATACCATCACTCCACATCCATACCATCACTCCACATCCATACCATCACTCCACATCCATACCATCACTCCACATCCATACCATCACTCCACACTCACATACTGTCATGAATCAGTAATCATGACTCAGAAGAAGTATAGACTGAAAGTAATAGTGACTCATAATTAATCAGGATTCATAAGGACAGTACAGACGGTAATTACAGATGGTAGTTTCAGATGGTAGTTACAGATGTTAGTCACAGATGGTAGTTACAGATGGTAATTACAGATAGTAGTCACAGATGTGTTACGGGGTAACAACGAATCGAGGGAACTCTATCGAGTTCGACGGATTAGGACAGAGGAAAGCGGGAGTTGGAGGCAGTGCTGCAGTAGGTAGGGACGGGTTTTCCCCTTTCGAGATTTTCCCCACTGGGTTTGCTCAAAGCGGTTTTTCACCTGTCCGAGTATGTACATGGACGCTTGCAGTAGGACTGAGAAGAGGAGACGGATACCTGTAGACAGTATATAGTACAATCAGCAAAGTACCAACTTTGCTGATTCTTCAATATCATTCTTTGGCTACATCGATTGCAGAGGAGACACGATCCATTAGCACCAGAGCCCCTAGATTTCCACGAGACCTCCATCGAGTTCGACCCAACCTGCGACCTAGTCGTCGTGTTTCCAGTACCGTTACAAGTTGAAGAATCAGCCTTACGCACCTTGGGTCGAATCGGAGAGTACTGTATGCTCACCAGAGGGAAAGCGCGGAAAATGATACCAGAAAAAGAGGAGTTGGAACAAGGGCTGGTCCCAGAGGAAGAAATACCAACAAGTTCTTCGAGAAGTACCATTTCACATGATCTCACTTCTACTACCACTACCCCAGATCCGCTAAATGAATTATCGCAGCAGTTGTCACAATTGTTAGCCATTATGACGATGCAACAAAAGGAACAAAATGCATTAAGGGAAGAACTGGCTACGATGAAAGCTGACCGACAGAACCAACAGATACTCACATCGAAAGGGGCAAGTTTGATCGAAGTCGAAGAAAACAAGCCGTGTTTGGAGCCAAAACTTACCAACAACGAACGAACAGGAAGAACCAGGTGTGCGGATCCACCTACCTTCAGTGGAGAACGAGGAGAATTGGACAACTTCCTTGCAGCATGTCACATGAACTTCGAATTCAAGGGGGCAGAGTACGCCACCGATCGCAGAAAGATCCTGTTCATGTACGGGTATCTTCGAGGCACCCCTCAAATGCTTATAACCCCGGCCATAACCAATCCAAGTATATGGAATTCGACCGAATGGCTAGAGAGCTACGACAAATTCATCCAGCATTTACGAACTCAATTTGGAGACAGTAACATGGCAGGTACGGCTATGAGGAAATTGCAGGAGTTAAGACAGACGGATACGGCCGCCGAGTATTTTGCCAACTTTGAACTTTGGTCCACACACCTTGGAAAGGTACCAGATGCAATGAAAATCGCCTCAGCCATACAGGGCCTGAAGGAAGAGCTACTGAAGGTGGTAGTGGTAAATAACACCGACCCTCGAACCAAATCGGACTGGATCTATTTCAAACAGCATGTGATAGGGACTGAGGAGAACCAACGGATGGCTGAAACGATGATTGCAGCGAATCGATGGGCTGCTAGACGCAAACATGAGACGACCTGGCTTCCCCCTCGATCGAATTCGATGCGATTGGATACTAGTTTGCCCAACCCGGTAGAACGCCACTCACAACCGACTGGTAGAGGACCCTTGCCCGGTGGAAAACCAGGGATGATGAATTATGGTCTACCAAATGACCCTCCGGTCACTTGGACAGAGGACGGAGGACGTCTCAGCGAGAACGAAATGACTTGGAGGAGGGAGAACCGACGTTGTCTCAAATGTAGAAGTCCAGAACATTACGCCAACAACTGTCCAAATGGAGGAAATACGAGAAACAACATTAGGGGATCCCCAAACCCGCATAGCTCACCAATTCCTAGTGGATCGAACTCGATCCCAACCGGATCCAAAGGGCCATTAGTTCGAGGAATGGCGGTAACCTTTGAAGAAGAGGGAAACGAATACCTGGCCTAAGTGATGCGACCACTTGCGGCCAGGATCTAACAGAATCGCACAAAATTCAACTACCAATAGATCTCAGTAATGACTCGGCTATAATATACATAAAGATACAGACAGAAGAAGATACCCTACGATTTGGAATGTTAATTGATACCGGAGCTACCGGAAGATACGTACAGCCGGCCTGTCCATTATACCATTTATTCCCAAAGAGACAGTATCAGGAACCACGGAAGATCAGATTCCTCGATGGAACAACCGCGACGTTAGTGACCGAGTATGTAGAAGCTGAGTTGGATTTAGGAGCAGGACTCAAGATTGCGACTCGATTGGATGTGATGGCATACGAAGGCCCCGAGGTACTGGTGGGATTGGATTTCTTGAAACAGTTTAGGGCAAGGATCGATTGTGGAAAGGGACTGATCGAGTTCGACGGAATCGGACAGGATAACGGTTGGAAATATCCGAGGTTGGAGGAAGGATTGATAAGAGGAACAGCATTGGAAAAAGGAGAAGATGAGATGAGCGAAGAAGAGTTACGACAGGTCATACCGACACCATGGCACCAATACCTGGAGCTATTCAAAGTGGAACGAGCCAGAAAACTACCACCAAGACGAGAATGTGACCACGAGATCGAATTGACCCCCGGAGCAGAACTAAAACCAGGACCAATCTACCAACTGGATGAACATGGGGATGCATTCCTAAAGCAGTGGATCAACGATGGTCTGGCCAGCGGCCATCTACGAAGAAGTAAATCACCTTATGGGTCTCCTGTATTCCTGGTTCCAAAAAAGGGAGTGATTCCCTATCGAGTGGTAACGGATTATCGTGCGCTTAACAAGGTAACCATTAAGGATTCATACCCAATGCCACTCATCTCGACACTACTCGATCGACTTCAATTAGGAAGGATCTTCACTAAGCTCGATTTGAAAGGGGCTTACCAGTTAGTCAGGATAAAGGAAGGAGATGAACAAAAGGCTGCCTTGCGAACAAGATACGGCAGTTTCGAGAGCACAGTCCTAAGGGATGGGTTGTGTAATGCACCAGCCACCTTTCAGAACTTTCTACAAGACATGTTTCACGATCTACTTGACGAAGGGGTAGTAGTTTATATCGACGATATCACGGTATACTCCGACACGATCGAAAACCATCAGATAATTGTCCAAAAGGTATTAGATCGACTACTGGAAAACGATTTGGTCGTCAGTCCGAGAAAATGCGAATGGAGTTCAAATGAAGTGAAGTTCCTGGGGTACGTAATAGGACACGAACGGATCGAAATGGATCAAGAAAAGGTGAAAGCTATTCTAGAATGGGGAGAACCCATGACAGTCCGGGATACTCAAGTGTTCTTGGGTTTTGCGAATTTCTATCGGAGGTTTATCAAGGGTTTTTCGCATATTGTGGGACCTCTCACACGATTGACTAGGAAGGATCAAGCTTGGAACTGGACACAAGAATGCCAAAAGGCTTTTGACGATCTAAAGAAAACATTCACCACAGCACCAGTACTTCGACATTTTGATAGAACCCGACCGACTTGGATTGAAACCGATGGATCCGATTGCGCGATAGGTGCGATAGCGTCTCAGAGATTTCCTCACCCATCAATAAAAGGAACCACCGAACTTCACCCAGTAGCGTACTGGTCTCGAGCAATGACGCCCTGTGAGCTAAACTACACGGTGGGAGAGAAAGAATTATTAGCCATCGTGGATTGCTTGGTCGCCTGGAGACCCTACTTGGCTAACAGTAGTGATGTTATAAAGGTCATTACCGATCACAAGAACCTAGAATACTTCCAAAGCAAACGACAACTAAATCGAAGGCAGATGAGATGGTTGGAAATATTGGGAGACTTCAACATAGAGATCACTTATCGACCAGGGAGCAAAAATGGGGGAGCAGATGCTCTGACGAGACGAGGAGATTATCATCCGGGAAGAGGGAGTAGCAAGGACCCAGACCTAAACAAAGGTAACTGGCTACAATTGCTACCGATACACGAACAAATTGGATCGAATTCAATGGACTCAGAACACAAAGGACCAAGACACATAGTAAGAGGAGCAATCCGGGAAGACTCATTATTCGGACTCATCAAGAACGGACTGAAAGACTCAGAAGACATAGCAAACATACGACAACTAGGACTACAGATGACACAGACACATAGCACACAGAGCACACAGAGCACCCAGAACACACAGGACACACAGGACACACAGAAGACACAGGCTAGCAACGAGACACCAATAGTATCATGGACACAGAGCGGATTACTCTTGTACAGAGACAGAGTAGTCATACCAGAGGGACAGGCAAGATTAGAAGTAATGAAAGCAAGACACGATTCGATACTAGTGGGTCATCCAGGAAGAGACAAAACTATCACCATGGTCAAAGAGGACTATTACTGGCCACATTTGGACGAGTATATTGCAAAATACGTAAAAGGATGTGAGATCTGTAACCGACATAAGACTCATCGACATCAGCCGTATGGACATCTGGTCTCTTTACCAGTACCCACACTGCCCTGGACAGATATCTCTATGGATATGGTGGGACCCCTACCAAAATCGACCGAGTTCGACGCGATACTGGTGATAGTCGATCGACTAACCAAGATGGCT